CCCCCCCCATCCCCCAAAGAATTTCGCAGACGCACTGAGAAATGTAAGGTGGCGGTCGAGTCCTTACCCCGGGTACACACCCTGGTGGGGTAAGCGAGACCTGGATCTGGACCAGGAGGCGTTGAAGAGAGAGCTGGTGCGGCGCGGGCTGTGGAGCTGGGTCAAGGAAACGTACCACGATGTCAAAGACAAGCTAAAACAAGGGAAGGACAAGATGAAGCAGAAGGCTAAGGAAGTGTGGAACAAGATCGTAGAACGTGAGGTGGCAGGCAAGAGACGAGTCAGAAACGTCTACAAGAGTTAGATCATATAGGAAAGCGTGGCAGGCAAGAGACAGCCAAAGTCTGGAAACATCTGTGCGATAAAACGTTCAGTCCTTATTTTTCTGTTGAGAAAAGAATATGTCTTTTTATGAATTTAACATTTTCTGTCTTAGTTTGTGAACGTCAAACGCTTTTGTGAATCAAAATCTTTTTGGGAATGAATAAATCCTCTATGTGCGAGTTGAGTTGAGTTGTCTGCTCTGTCTTTCAAGAAGAAAGTATAAAATGTACCCTTTTGCAATTGATGAAACTGTCTGACTATTTCATTTTCTGGAGAAAAAGAAAATCCCGTAAATGGAACTGAATCATCTGTTACTTGTTTTCGGAAGGAAAACTATCTGTACAGATTACCTATTTTTGGCCCAACTATCTACACAGATGACTTACTTTTGATCGGCGTAGGAAGAAGAGATCATTCCAAGTACTAAAGTACTGTGTGGTGGTCTAGGAGGTAGGGTGGATGGCTATCAGTCAAAACATCCCTGGATGGAAACCTACCAGAAACGGAAATCTGGCTAGCCTCGACTCAAATCGATGACGTCAATTGCCAGGAAATATGGTGTCAGTTGGCGGGAAATATGATGTCAGTTGGCGGGAAATATGATGTCAGTTGGCGGGAAATATACGAATAAAATAAAGAAAAGAACCGCAAAGGCGAAGAATTCTTTCACTAGAACGAAGACGAATCTAAAAAGAAAAGAACAATATATCTATCTCAGAATTACAAGGTTCTATCTGACATTTTTGGACGTTTTGAGTTACTGTGACCATGATGTCAGAAACCAAATGTTCTCTCTGCTCTATACAAATCGTACGATTATTCGGAGTCGTTATCAAGATATTTAAAGAATTGCATTCGGAGAAGCTTGACATGATGTAAAACTTAAATTGTACGTCAAACTTATCAAAACTGACTTCTGGGCAGATAGAACATTGTGACTCTCGGGTGGTGAGATGTCTGTATTGACAGAGACCACGGTTTTGAAAACATTTCTTTGTGGAATGTATAATTCCCCCAAGCCCATTTCTCCACCTTTGTGAAATACTTTCTCTCAGCCCCGTTTGTTACCTTGTTGGAAATATTTGCCTGGAGCATGTTTACAGCTTCGTGTCAGAGTCTGCATGATACCAATATCCATTGATTAGTTTTGTTGGTATCATGTTTATAGGGAATTTCAATAGTCTGACCGCATAAGGCCACCCTACCACAATATGTCGAAAACCCAGGAAGTTGTCTCACTAACAAAGCAATCCTCAATGTCCGGATCGGATGCAGGATCATCTTTACTTTATTTTATACCGGATAATCCACATTTTAAATGATGCCATCATGATGTCTCGCTTGAAAAAGATGGTATTTGGGCAATTCCTTCGGGTCTCTGAATAAAACCATAGTACGCAGTCTTACACAGATTGTGAACTTGCTGGTGCCAAAGATCGTACCTAACAAGATAGTTCACTCAGCCAAAAAAAATGTCCGCGGAAGTCCGCGCATTGCTTCCGATGGCGCTGCAGTCTTTGTGTTGAGGCTCTCTCTCTCGTTTCTCTTTTAGAAGAACTGAAATAGCACAGTTAGTTAGTTTCTCTTTTATTGTTGTTCACACAAGTAGGGTAACTCTATTCCAAAAGTCCGCACTTTTTCGAAGAGGGCGCCACCTGATTTTGAGGACACTTTTTATTTGGCTCAAAGAGAGGAGTGGACTATCTTGTTATGTACGATCTTTGGTGGTGCATAGACAATTTGTTATCAAGTATTTTATAACTCCCAGATATTTAGCCTTGACTTTATTTTATAAAAAACCACTTTCTCTTTTCCAACAAGAAGATGATCAGTTCTAAAGAAATATTTCCTCTCAGCCCCATTTGTTACCTTTTCTGAAATATTTGTCCACAGTCCAGTTTATCACTTGTTCTAGAGTGTTTCCCCCATCCCCTAGTCCTGAAAAGGAACTTCCATCATTGTATCCCTCTGGAGACAGCCTATAGTTACCCCCAACAATGCCTTAGCCTCATTAAAAAAACAAGAACTGACACCGAGATGGTGTTGTTGCTCTCCGACTTCCATGGAGTACCCTCAGGCTCAATGTATTCACACAGGCTACAAAAACCTGGGGCTCGTTTTGCTTGGCATTGTCGTTTTTATGTACCGTTTTTGTATGGTTAGTTTGTTCTAGAAAGAGTTTTGCGGCGCTTACAACATGCAACACAATTGGGTCATATCAGTGCTGGAGATTAGAGGTGCTACTCGAGAACGGCATGCATTTTGAATGACATTGTATTTTTTGTGTGACGTTGAAGTTTTTGTGTACCTTCTTGTATGGAGTTGTGTTGTACTTTTTGGGTACCTTCTTGTTTGGCCTTGTACTTTTTGTGATCTCCTTTTCTAAGTATACGTACTAAAGCATCTTTGTCCCCCACAACAGCTAATTATTTATTGAAATGACAACGAGTGTTTTCCTTGTAATACGAAGTCGACGGTTTGATCTGAGAAGTTCTACTCTTGTTTCGTCTCTCTTGATCTTCCATCTGCCATTGGATTCTCGCTCCTCCCCCCCCTCCCCTCCCCCCCCCCCTCCCCTCTCCCATCCATTCCCTCCCCCTCCTAGAAAATCCACCACTCACCTCCCCCCCCTCCCCTCTCCCATCCCTTCCCCTCTCCCATCCATTCCCTCCCCCTCCTAGAAAATCCACCACTCACCTCCCCCAAAGATGTTTGTGATCGTTTTTCCTTGCCATCAAGCAGCGGTATTCCTATTGCAAAAAGACTCTTTATTTTTTTGAAAAACTGATTAGAGACTTTATCACATTTGGTAGGAATTAGTTTTGAATTTTGCCTGGGTGGCGGCCAACGCTTACTCTACTTATCAATTTTAAGACCATCGAGGGATCTTTAACGTGCGTAACTTGCACATGGGATCTCAGATATTTTTTCGTCTTCATCCAACAAGGTCAGGTGTACAATCTTACCTACCCTAAGATCAGGAGTGTGGCTGACAGACAGCAGTAAGAAGGAGTGCGGCTGACAGACAGCAGTAAGAAGGGGTGTGGCTGACAGACAGCAGTAAAAAGGGGTGTGGCTGACAGACAGCAGTAAGAAGGGGTGTGGCTGACAGACAGCAGTAAGAAGGAGTCCGGAGAAGCAGTAGAAAGAGACATCAGTAACGGAGAGAGAGCCACAGAGGAGGCCGGGGTTGGTGGACGTAACTTGATGGTGTGGGGAGGGGGAGGGGAGGGGGAGGGTGACGGGGAAGAGAGGGGAGATGAAAGCAGAAGACAGAACAGGACTAAAGAACAAGAAAGGAGGACTAAAGGAGAAACAAATTTGAAAGATTTTTTTCCCCCGCTTAAGGTAGGTTTCGATCCAGGGATGTTTTGGCTGATAGCCAGTATTCTAGTAACAGATAATTCTGTTCCATATTTTAAAAGAAAATACAATTATCAGAAAGTTTTATCAATTGCAAAAAAGGTACATTTTATACTTTCTTATTGAAAGACAAAGCAGACAACTCAACTCAACTCGCACATAGAGGATTTATTCATTTCCAAAAAGATTTTGATTCACAAAAAAGTTAGACATTCACAAACTAAAAATTGCATAATTTCCGAAAAGAAAGAAAATGTTTACTTCACAACAACAACAAAAACTCAAAAACAACAACAACAACAACAACAAAACAAGTAACAATATGTTCTTTCCTAAATAGAAGAAGGACTTAAAAAGTTTTATCCCACGTTACACAGATGTTTCCAGACTTTGGCTGTCTTTTGCCTGCCACGTTTTACTCGATGATCTAACTTGTGTAGACGTCCAGGCTATGTCTCTTGCCTGCCACGTTTTACTCGATGATCTAACTTGTGTAGACGTCCAGGCTATGTTTCTTGCCTGCCACGTTTTACTCGATGATCTAACTTGTGTAGACGTCCAGGCTATGTTTCTTGCCTGCCACGTTTTACTCGATGATCTAACTTGTGTAGACGTCCAGGCTATGTCTCTTGCCTGCCACGTTTTACTCGATGATCTAACTTGTGTAGACGTCCAGGCTATGTTTCTTGCCTGCCACGTTTTACTCGATGATCTAACTTGTGTAGATGTCCAGGCTATGTTTCTTGCCTGCCACGGCACGTTTTCCGACGTCTTCCTTAACCTTTTCCCAGGTCTTCTTCACATGCTCCTTGAAGTCTTCCCATGTGTCTTCGGCCTTGATTTTGATATCTTCCCACAAACCGCGGCGCACCAGCTCCCTCCTCAACGCCTGCGCGTCTCGCTCTACGCTGCTCCTACGCCACCTGGGTCTGAACCCAGGGTAAGGTTTCGTCGTGCGCTTTTTGATTCCCAGCATGCCGTCTAGTAGTGACTGGGGGCGGGGGTGGGAGGGGGGAGGGGGAGGGTGGGGAGAGAGATGGTTAGCTGGTTGGGTGGTTGGTGAGTTTGTGGGTTGGTGGGTGTGTTGACAGGTTGGCCTAGAATCTCTAAGCCCTATCTGCTCAGTATTTAGTTTTGAGAAATTTGATGTTCAACATTTTGAGATGTCACAACTTGGTCAAGCTTCTTTGAATATCCTGATAACGGCTACATTTCATCTGACGATTTCGATAGAGCAGAAGGATAGAACTTTTGGTTTGTGACTTCCTGGTCTTTGTCACTCAAAACGGTCCAAAACGCCAGAAAGAACATTGTAATTCTGTTTCGCTATTGGTTGAATGTTTGGAATGAAAGTTTGAAAGTGTGGGCGAAATAAAATCCTGGCTAGCTTCTTTGGTGAATTGTTTGTGGACGATGTCTGTTTGAGTCTCTGCCTTCTTTGTTCTACTTCCTCTTCTTTTTCTGTTTTGTGTACTTTTTGTGATTTGTTTGTTTCATCTCCTTTGTCCATTTTGTCTTCATTGTCTTTTGTCTTATTTATCTGCTTTGAAAGTTGTTTGTCTGCTTTGAAAGTTGTTGTAGTCACCTCCAGATCTCTCCCCTCTGGACAGTCTCTCTTGTTGACCTTGGCTCTGACGTCATCGTGGGCCAAGGTCAGGGCGCAGAAAATGGCGGCGAGGCCACACAGGCAGAGAAAGGTAGTGGAGAACTTCATGTCTGTTGGGGGGGGGGGAGGGGGAAAGGGAGAGGGAGAGGGAGGAGGAGGGGAGGGGAGAGGGGGAGGGTAGAGGGGGAGAGAGGGAGAGGGGGTAGGGGTAGGGGAGAAGGAGATAAAAAAAAGAGAAGAGGCACTTAACACAATGTTTCCCCTTATCACTCAGGTGGGATGGGAATGGGTACCCAGCTATAGACAGCGAAAGATCTTGCCAGTTTCTTAGTGTTTGAGCGCTTAATCAGCTGCCTGCACTGTATGTTTCCCGAGAATGTTTCTGATTTTTCTAGGGTCTGCTGGGGTAATACTAGAGATTGTTTAGTGCAAAACGCTTGCTTCTGGGAGGAGATATGCACGATTCAAATTCTATTTCGTAGTAGTAGTAGTAGTAGTAGTAGTAGTAGTAGTAGTAGTAGTTGTAGTAGTAGTAGTAGTTGTTGTAGTAGTAGTAGTAGTAGTAGTAGTAGTAGTACTAGTAGTAGTAGTAGTAGTAGTAGTAGTAGTAGTAGTTGTAGTAGTAGTAGTAGTAGTTGTAGTAGTAGTAGTAGTAGTAGTAGTAGTATATTATTATTATTATTATTATTATTATTATTATTATTATTATTATTATTATTATTATTATTATTATTATCATTATTAGTGGCGTCGGTGGCCTAGTGGTCAGGCTCTTGGACTCGCAACCGTAAGGTCGTGGGTTCGAATCCCGTCAGGGGCCCGACGTTGTGTCCTTGGGAAAGGCACTTTACACGAATTTTCCTCACTTCACCCAGGTGGAAATGGGTACCCGGCCATAGACAGCGAAAGATCTTGTCAGTTTGTTAGTGTTTGGGCGCTTATCCAGCTGCTTGCACTGTATGCTTCCCGGGAAGCTGAGAATGTTTCAGAGTGTTCTATGGTCTGCTGGGGTAATAATATAGTGTAAAGCGCATAGAGCCTGCTGTTGAGCGGGGATATGCGCTATACAAATGCTATTTATTATTTATTATTATTATTATTATTATTATTATTATTATTATTATTATTATTATTATTATTATTATTATTATTATTATTATTATTATTATTATTATTATCATCATTATATCTACTGCAAGATACAATTATTATTTTCGTCATTGTTTTTATTATTGTTGTTGTTACTTTATCTGAAAAAAAAAAAAAAAAAAAAAAAAAAAGAGAAGTCCATCTTATCCTACAGCCACATCTCCCAAGTTCCCGGCCCAGCAGTTTCCCCCCAAACTACGAGCATGCGCACTTGACTCACCTGCTGAGACCAGACCAGTTCAGACAGACCAGAACAAACGACCTGCACAAGTTGTCCCCCCTATATATCCAGTTCTCCAGCAATTCAACAAGTTGGGCAGGGTGATTATAATCTGTCAAGATCCCAGAACTTTCCAGTAACGGACAATGTGTTAATCAGCTGAACACAATTTGAAGACAATGTGTACTGAATATACACACACTATCTTCAATTTCGGACAATATGTGTTAATCAGCTGAACACAATTTGAAGACAATGTGTACTGAATATAATTTCATTACACACGTCATCTCCCAGCTATCGACAATATGTGCTAATTAGCTAAACACAAATTGAAAATAATGAGTTTTGAATATTTTATACACGTCATCTTCCAGCTATAGACAATATGTGCTAATTAGCTAAACACAAATTGAAAACAATGAGTTTTGAATATTTTATGCTCGTCATCTTCCAGCTACGGGCAAGGTATGCTCATCAACTAAGCACAATGTGACGACAATTATATATTATAGGCCAAGACAGTGTGCACAACACTCACCAGCGGTTCACAGTGATTGAGCAAAGAGAAGCTCACTCACTCACACAATAACGGTCGTCTGGTGCAGGGAAGAAGCAAGATAGATAGACAGAAAGAACAGAGGGAAAGAAAAGAAAATAAGGACCTACCCATACATCATCTGAATCATCAACGGTACAAAATATATGGACAATACCTACACATCAGTTATAATTATACAGAATATCTAGATAATAAATACCCATCAATTATACAGAATATCTAGACAATATATACCCATCAATTATACAAAATATCTAGATAATAATTAAAGCACATGAACTGTACACCATGTATAGACAATATAATATACACAGGGTTTTGTTTTTGTCGTTGCTAGTTTTGTCTCTTTTTTTTGGTGTGTTTTTTTAAGACGAAGGGGGTTGTTGTTTTTTAAAAACATTCATCCCTTCAGATTTCTCAACTGGGCTTGGTCGCAGGCCCAGGGCATGGGTTACATTTCTACATTGATGTCGTCATCAGCGGCTGGATTTCTCGGAATGTGGGAAATGTATTTTTGCTTACGCCGCTCAGAGACGAAGTCTCGCGACTGCAGTGATAAATGTGACATTCTACAAAGTGTATCAAATGAGGAAGACAGTGTGTGAGGGTTTAACAAGACGAAATGTGTCAGGAAGACAGTGTGTGAGGGTATAACAAGACGAAATGTGTCAGACGAGGAAGACAGTGTGTGAGGGTATGACAAGACGAAATGTGTCAGACGAGGAAGACAGTGTGTGAGG